GAAATATCCTCTATCTTGGCTTGGGACTCCCCTACTCTGAAAGAATATCCAGTAGCTTAACAGACCCTCTACTCTACTTTCTTCAGTAAAGAGAAGACTCTGGCCTTATAAATCAGTGGGTTCTCAACCTTTAACCCTGTGGGTGAAATTCAGCATTCTGGCCACATCTGGGGCACCAGACCAAACCCATTCCCCCCACCAGTCCACAGAGTGACCCCACATGGTAGCATAATGGAGCACATAAGACTACCGGATCCAGCCCACAGGGTTCCCCATGGGTCCAGAGATTTGGCAGTAGGGGAGCAGCAATTTATGCTGATACCACTCCCCTACTACCAACTTTCCATACCTGTGGGGAAAGACATGGGGCAGATGACATGGCTTCACAGATCAAAGACTGGGCAACACTGCCTCAGGTCTTACATTATTACAGATGGAAAAGGCTATCAGACAGTAGCCCCAACTCTTGCCACAAGACGTAAATTATCTGTCTGGGTGCTAACAGGTCAAGCAAAACAATACTTTAAATTTAATTTAAAGACTGGCTTGACCTGTGACAATCTTCCTTCTCATATAATAGAGTCACTTGTGATCCCATAATAGTTTTGAGGATCCAGTTGAAAACACAGTAAAAAAACCTAGACTTTATCAAGTGGAGAAAGAACAAAACTGATGGAAAAGACAACTGAACTCTAGGTCAGGGTATGTGCTTGCCAAACAGGTCAGACATGTTCATTCCTTTTGGTGGATATTCCATCTGCCAACAGTCACCACCAGAGGATGGGAAGGAAAGAAGCCCCCCAGAACTACATCATCATTCATCAGCCTGGATCAGACCTACTCAGAATTGTTCTGAACACAGCTCAGCTGCTTTTCTGAGAGGTCAGTAGAGGATGAATCTCTAATCTCATGCAATCACCCTAGAATGCTAAGCTTGAGTATGAAGGATGTGGGTGGAAAAGGTCTGCGTGGTGTAGCTCTGGAGGAAATGAAAGATTCATGCTGGGTGTTTTTGACCATTGTGTGCTGAGAAGGCCATGTCATATTGTGAAAAGCTTTTCCTGCTAGCACCAGCTATAAACAAAAATTTACTCAATCCCTATTTGCATTCATAGACTCTTTTAGGGAAGCTGGTGTCATTGAATAGTTTGGTTCTGTATTGCATTCATTTGATAGTGACCAAGGTGCTGGAGCACATCAGGGCAGCGCCTGATTCCCATGCCAGGATAAAGGCTTGTCTACTCACAGTATGTTTCTCCCCATGGATTTCTGGTCCTGCCCTCTGGGCAGCATGAAGTACAATGCCTCTCTCAGTCACCCTGTTACAGGAAGATGGGCTTTTTCCTCACTAGAATATCACAGTTGAACAAGAAACATCACAAGTCTTGATTATTACTACCAATCCTAGCCACACTGTAGGGAATGTATCAGTAGGTTAAGTGTTCCTGTTTTACAGATAGGCAAATAGAATAGAAGCTCAGACACATGGGAAGACAAGTGCAGTTAGCAATGCAAATCAGTTCTTGTGACTTCCTGACCACAACTTTTTTTTTGAGCACATCGTAGAGCAACTTTGATGCTATATAGTGGCAGCTTGTACCGAATGAATCATCAAGGAACTCCACTCAGATGTACATTTCTATTTATTATTTCATTCAAGAGACACATATAGTTAAGTTGACTGAGCCACTATCATATGATTAAGTATAGAAGAGATCTGGGTTGACTCATATGACAGACTAGGACAGCCATTGTGAATTCCTGGAATTTGCAAAGTAAGCCCACACAAAATAAAACGATATTGCATCACAAAATGTTCTATGCCAATTGATTTTTAGCAAGTCTAGTTCTAATTTATGGCCCTGCATTAGTTCAGAACTGCCAAATGGCCCATTGGTAGCTGACAGAAAGCTGTAAAAGAAGAGGTGCCAGCTCTAAGAAAAAAATCAAACAGATGGGAGGGTAGAAATGAAATGAAGAATAAGAGCAGGCAGTCCGATTAGCCTTACTGCAGGCAAGACAGCCAAAGTACATGAACACTTGGCCCTCTGTTGCAATCCATGGCTCTGGGGATGCCGGGTGACTGTGAATGGGAGCGCAGTCATTTCATTTCATCCCAAGCAGAGGGGGATGGGGCATGCTCTGCTAATACACGTAGCATATTTTGCCAAAGTGTGGTGGCTCAGTATTGTCAGGCCTGACTTCATCATGGCTATGCACAGGATGAAGACTTCCCCTGAACTTTTATAATGCCCTTTCACTTTCTCCGTCTCCTTTATTTTTAGAGGGAGAGTAATACTGTCCCATCTTTCTTCTGTTAAATACTACTGTGAATATCATTCTGAGTAGCACTTGCCACCACTGTGCTTCAGAACAGGCACAGATCAGATCAGTGGCTCTGCCTGGAGTCCATGCTCAAGGAACCTATCCTCATTTGTTCAGGTCCTGCAGGATGATTAAGTTGGAAGTATCTCGATGAAAAAGTATCCTAGTCCTATGGAGGACCGGATGGAGTTGGGACAAGGTAAGAGCTTCAGAGCTTATTGCCTGCAGTCTTTAAAGAAGAAACACTTGAGAATATGGTAAGAAAAGTATGTTTATTCTGTAGTCATTTAACTTTCTGGGTGCTTGTGTTTCTATTTGTTCATCCGTAAATCAGGGATAATGAAGCATCCCCTACTTTGAGGCTAGGCTTGCTAGTAATAAATACCTGTGGTGTCTTTGTTTAACTGTGATATTCTATAGTGAAGAAAAAGCCCATCTTCCCGTAACAGGGTGACTGTGAGAGAGGCATTGTACTTCATGCTGCCCAGAGGGCAGGACCAGAAATCCATGGGGAGAAACATACTGTGAGTAGACAAGCCTTTATCCTGGCATGGGAATCAGGCGCTGCCCTGATGTGCTCCAGCACCTTGGTCACTATCAAATGAATGCAATACAGAACCAAACTATTCAATGACACCAGCTTCCCTAAAAGAGTCTATGAATGCAAATAGGGATTGAGTAAATTTTTGTTTATAGCTGGTGCTAGCAGGAAAAGCTTTTCACAATATGACATGGCCTTCTCAGCACACAATGGTCAAAAACACCCAGCATGAATCTTTCATTTCCTCCAGAGCTACACCACGCAGACCTTTTCCACCCACATCCTTCATACTCAAGCTTAGCATTCTAGGGTGAGTGCATGAGATTAGAGATTCATCCTCCACTGACCTCTCAGAAAAGCAACTGAGCTGTGTTCAGAACAATTTTGAGTAGGTCTGATCCAGGCTGATGAATGATGATGTAGTTCTGGGGGGCTCCTTTCCTTCCCATCCTCTGGTGGTGGCTGTTGGTAGATGGGATATCCACCAAAAGGAATGAACATGTCTGACCTGTTTGGCAAGCGCATACCCTGACTGAGTGTTCAGCTGTCTTTTTCCATCAGTTTTGTTCCTTTCTCCACTTGATAAAATCTATGTTTAATTGTTGTGTTTTCAACTGGATCCTCACAACTGTTATGGGATCACAAGTGACTCTTTTCTCTGTTATATGAGAAGAAAGACCAGCAGTGTAAGGATGTGCCTGGGCCAAAGCAGAAGCGGCCACTTCTGGTTGTTGTTGCAATCCCAAACACACATGTGCACCTTCCACACAAGCTGCCTTTTTTCATAACCCTCCCACAAGTCAGCATCCAGTGTGGTTGCACATATTGCCTGTACCCTATCCCTCCAGTTATGCCACTGGGGAAGATCATCATGTAGTATATGGCAAATTATTCTATTATTTTACCTTCTAGCACCCAGACAGAAGTTTTATGTCCCATACTAGCAAGGGAAGGGACAATGATCTACTGCTCTTAGCTACTTTTCATAATTCACCTGCTATCTCCAGTTACAAAGTTAGATTTTCTTAGAATCATAAAAAATGACTGAAAGAGATTTGTCATACAAGTCTCTGCTCAAGGAAGGATCATTCCTTTCTAAACCACACCAGAGAAATAACTATCTAACCTAAAAACTTCCAGCATTGGAAATTTTACGACCTTTCTATACAATGTTCTACACTCTTTAATCATGTTTGTAGTTTGAAAGTTCATCTTAATATCTAACCAAGTGGCAAGTTAAGCCCATTATTTCTTTTCCTGCCTCCAGGTGACAGAACAATTTTGAGTAACACTTGCCACTGAAGTGTTTCAGCATCCTCTTCATAATGACTTTTTGTGTTGGAAGATGATCTCTTCTCTAAAATAAATAATCACTAGACTTCCACCTGTCCTGGTGGACAGAGATGCCCTACTGAAGCAAAAATCCATCTTAAATGTAACAGGTTAATTAAAAGTGATCAAGTTATTCACAATCAACCAGAAAGTGCAAATAAAAGTTTAAGGGAAGAGGAAGTTAAGAGCTGCCATTGCTTCTACCTATGGCACAACTAATTAGAGGAAATGTCTATTTAAAAAGCCTGTACCTGAAAACTTGTCTAACACCCCTCACAACAATACAGTTGGTCCAATACAAGATATCACCAAAAAATCCTTCCATTTTGCATGTTTCCTGGACCGTCATAGCTGCAAAAACATTCCAAGACTACTACAATAACAGAGGCCTTATGATCTAATGCAAGTAGGTGTCTCTCATCATAAGGGATCCTGATTTTCTCCAATTAAAAAAAATCCCCAATTTCTAGTTTAAAAAAAAGTAACCCAAATCCACATTTTTCCATGATTTAAATGAAACACCACAGATAGATAGATAGATAGATAGATAGATATATAGATAGATAGATAGACAGAGGTGTTTCATTCTAATCACAACAAATTTGGATTTGGGGTTACTTTTTTTTAAACTGAAAATTGGGGATTTTTTTTTAAATCAGAGAAAACCAGGCTCCCTGCTCATCATCTGTAACAAATGGGTTTGGCTTATCTATACAAGCTGAAGCATTAAGGGGGAGAAAAGAACGTATAGTCAGCTGTGTCATTTCTCCAGTTTGGTCAGAGCTGCAGTGCACCTGCATACATTTTGCTGGTTTCAGTCCAGCTGGAGCTTGTCGTCTCAATCCAGACTTTTCTGCATTCTGTTCACTAGTACTGCATCCATGTAGTTAGCGGTCAAATATGCTGTATGGACTTATGAGTAGCCAAAGCCTGGTAGAAGAAATAAATAATTAAGATAAATAGGGCTTCTTTCACTGTTTTTCATTTGATACAGAAACAAACCATGCCAAAGGATTCAATTCAAGGAATAAAATGGCAATATGGACCAGCATGATATAGTGTAGGTATTTTGCTTGTTTTGTTTCATTTTCTTTTGTTGTGTTTAGTTCTTCTTTATACAGTTTTAATGTCACATGGTGTACAGTAATAAAGATGACAAAGGGTATGCTTTGGTAGGCCTACACCTGGCATGGGCAATTATTTTGGCTAGAGGGCCACTTAATCAGTTTTGGTATGCTGATGAGGGTCACAAGGGTAGCCCTGCCCCTTGACAGGTTCCCTGCCTCCTGGTCACCATCTTGGGACCAGAAATCCTGCTCCTAACCTCCGACATTTGCCACACAAAGTCCCTCCCCTTGCCCCCAGAAGTACTCTGGGGTGGGGCCTATCAACTTGGCACCAGAAAAAAAACAAATCATGCACTAAAAGTGAAACACCTACTACCTACTATAACTTATTTTAGTTTTATTACAAAAAATATTGTTTTCATGATTTGTGTTTGCATAGTGTACATAGAGGTGATTGCATAGTAGCTCAAAAATAAAGTCTTAATCTTGTATATTGTGTGTGGGGTGTGGTTGGGAGTGGGTGTGCATATGGTAGGATGTGTGTGGGTGTAAGTGCATGTGTGGGGGGGGTCGTGTATATGTAGTGGGGGTTGTGGGGGCAGTGTGTGTATGTGAGGTTTGTGGGGTCTAAGGGAGGGTGTGAGGACCTCCCTCCAGCTCAGGCAATCACTGGCAAATGAGTAAGATAATCTTCCAAGGATCTTAATAGTGAGGCCACAGGTGGCTCCATAGCCCAATTCTAGATCCACATGTCTTGTCGCAGTGAGAACAGATGTTTCCAGGAAGGGTGGGCACTGTGTTGCTGACCGCATAGAGGTGATCCCACTGGATGTGGTTATCCAACCAGGAACTGATTGAGGCAGGCTATGGTTGGGGCACCTTTTATAGCTCCCTCCCCATGTGGCGGGAGCAGAGTGGCTCCTAAATAGGACTGCTCAGTCATGGGTGCAGCTGCTGAACTGCTCTTCCTGCCTCTGTCCTTGAACAAGACAACTGAAGCAAACACCCACCACATACGTGCCAATCCATGACTAGGAACTTCCAGATGTCACAGTCCTGTCCCCGTCGCCACTCACCAATCGCCATAGGACTTTCCTGTTGTGCAGAGGAGATGCATAGTTTCCATAAGGAAGACGCCTTTGTGTGACTTCTTTTAGTGTGAGGATATTGCCAACAAACGCATGGTCCTTGACAGATAGGGATTGAAGACCCATGGCATAGAATCCAAGATGATTGAAGACCCTTGATCTGCTTCAGCTTTCATCCGGCTCCATAGCCGCTGCAAAGGGAGTTATACTTTTCTTCTGCCTGGTCTGCCTTTGAGGTCTTCTTGGATCATTCTTAGTCAGGAAACCTACCTCTCGACCTTGCCACCATGGGTTACCCTACCAGAAGCATAAAGCTCCTGATGGCATTGGTGTCCGGATCATTGGAACACACAAGCCTCTCCACCACTACAAGGTGGCAATCCCCAGAGAGGGACCCCCACTCCACACTTCCCCCCATGGCACACAGCCGCCACCACCACAAGCAGCAGCAGATGGCAGACCCTCAGGGCACTCGTGGCCCACACAGGCACTGCCACCCAGTAGCATGCAGCTCCAGCCAGAGCTTCATGCAGCAGCAAGGAGCACAGCCAGGCCAACCTGCTTCTATTGTGCAGGGCTACTAGCAGCACATTTGCAGCTCCCAGCACTTGTGCACCCTGAAGGGAAGCTCCATGCGATGGAGCCAGTTGCCTTTCCCACTCCCTGCCACTATGTGCAGATCCCGGGACTCTGCCAGGAAGCAGGGGGTGGGGGAAGCAGCCAGCTCTATCATGTAGGGCTTACCTCAGTGGTGCATGAGTGCCAGGAGCTGCATGTGTGCCGCTGGGAGCCCCACACAATAGAGATGGGCTGGCCTGGCTGCACACCTTCCCACCACGTGCAGCTCTGGGTGGAGCCACTCACTGCTGGGTGACAGCACCTGCACAAGCCACAAGTTCCCCAAGGGCCCACCACCTGCTTCTGTTAGCTGCAGAGGCTGTGTGTGGGGAGGTCCCTGCACTCCCCTGCCCCCCCCCACACTCACACCCTGCCCACTCAAGCTCTGTGTTCCCACAACCCCACTGGGTACAGGCTCCATGGCCCCACACTCCCTGCCCAACTGCAGCTCCCCCACACTTCTGTTGCTTTCCTAAAAGTAACCCCAAATCCACATTTTTTGTAATTAAAATGAAACACCATTTATTAGTTGTGTTTTATTTAAATCATGGGAAAATGTGGATTTGGGGTTACTCTATTTAAATCAAAAATTTGGAATTAAAAAAAAAAAAAATTGGTGAAAACCAAGATCCCCGGTAATCAATCAATTTAATTTTAGTGTAGTCTTCCTTGAAGATTTTGAAGTTCTCATTACACCCCAGCCAAATAAATCTCCAGAAAAGAAAGGGTTTACATGCTTGATCTCTTAGGAAAATATAATCAGAAAAAGAGACTGCCTCCCCCCTACCCCTAGCACCACCACCCCCGCTCCCTCCCCACACACATACACATTTTGTTTATTTGTTTAAAGGAAATACCTACTGTCACCTTGTAGGCCTTTTTCTGTATCTCAGCACACTAAAAAGCCAAAATATTTTCCTCCTCTCCTCCCCCACCTTCCAAGTTCACATGAGATTTTAAAATAACTAAATAAACCAAACTTTTATCACATAAAATATGCAGGCAATGAGATAATAGGGACTGTAAAAGACAATACACTTCAACAGTTGGCAATCTCAAACTCACCTCTTGCCAAGTACTGGATATCTTAGTCTCGCAGGTCATAACATTATTTACAGTAAGACCTGCATTTATAAAACAGCTCTGTCCTATATCTTGAATGATCCCAATGTGTTTTACAGATGTTAAAATTAAATTCAGGGATATATACAGGTATTACTTTAGCTATCATTACTATTTGGACATTTCCTTGACAAACTATAGCATTATTTATTAACAGCATACAGCAACAATATACGAGAGGGGGAAAATATTGCATTCAACTCAAGATACAGGGAGATAAACTATGTAGATTTCATGTAATTGCTGAATTTGCTCCTGAATTGGAGCAATGGGAACAAGAGTGATATTTTAAAATATAAGATCATATTAGCAGATGGGTTAAAAAGCCCACCCAGGGAATAGGAAGGGCATTTTGGAAGAACAACAGAGAAAAACCCTATGAGATAGTTTTGTCTTGTTTTTTAAATTAAATGTAACTATAATTGTTGAGAAATTATTTTTATAAAGCAGTGCAAGTCAGTTTTAAATATATGTAATATAATGGGAGGACACCGCACAACTGAGACAATTTACAGTACATTATAGGTTACTGCATTATAGGTTACTGTAAGTATAAATGCTGTATACATTTAATACCAATTATTTGTTTTCTTTAAATTCATCTCAGTGAAATCATTCCATCCTACTGACTCCATCTTTCTAGAGAAGACTGAATTGTGAATACAGGCCAAACAACTTTCCATTTCTTGCTGCTTCTTTTTTTAATTCTCTTGGATCACATTTCTGTGGTGTGTATTAGTTATACTAATGCAGAAATGAAATACATTTACTGGCTGTCGTCACAGTGGGTCTGTTTTGATTTCTTACAGAATATTAGTGGGTAATGAATCAGAGAACCTTCTCACAGAGCAAAATGAATGACAGTATAGACCCAAACATACAAAACCCCAAGTTTCAGTTCTAATCCAAGTAGTACACATTTAGTTGTGCACATTAAGTCGCATGCAAAAAAGATTGGCAGGTAGAAGATATTGGAGACAATTTAAACGGGTGTAAGAGCCTCACATATGTGTGTGAGTGTGTGTGTGTGTGTGTACATACATACATACATATACACATACATTATACACACATACACCTTACTATGCTAAACACCATGGCGGCCAACAACAGAACAACAATCTGAATAACACTTAGAGTGGTCTACAAAAAAAGTATGGCAGTCTAGGGTTATCCCCATACCTGCCCATCTAGCTATCCACCAATTGATTCTGCCCCTAGCACCCTTCCTGACCCCAGTCTTCTGACCACCCTGTCCCCATCACACCTATCCCAGTCCTCAAGAAATCCAGCTCTTCAGTCTCTTGTCATTTCTGCTCCACTGGCTTTGCTAGTTTATCTCCCCTTTTGTTGTGCCATCTCCAGACCCTCCATCAATTGTTCCTGCAGTGTCTGAATAAAATGTAGCCCAGGTAACTTGGGTATATACTCCCCTTCTCCAATTGAAGGGGATTGTTAGCTCGCAGGTGTGCTGTGGGGTGGGAACTGCAGACCACTCAGTTTCCCTATAGAACCAGGTCAGGACAGTCAGGGGACTTAACTATATACAAATTTATTTACATTAACTTATCACAAGGGAAAGGAACATGGATATAAAACATATGTATAATATATATATTTATACGATATCTAAACCAGTAACATAAACAATACTGGATCCTATGACCCCAGCTGACTTCCTGCCCTTTGGGCGGGGGGCTGGACTCGATGATCTTCTGAGGTCCCTTCCAGCCCTGATGTCTATGAAATCTATGAAATACCCTCTAGGTAAATGACATAAAACCTTATACCAGTGCTCCAGATACAGGTAAGTCACAGGTAAAGTATCTGATCTGAAACAGATGAACCCTAAAGATAAACTCAATCCCGAGGGGAAACCCCAATGCCCTTGGGCTTTTCCCAAGCCCTACAAAGAAGCTGGTAACTTTCGGGGGGGCCCTCCCAGTGGGACCTCCCCTTTCAGGAGCCCTTAATAACTAACCAGGGGGGACTCCCCCTCCCCTGTGGGAATCCTCTTTTCCCTGCAACTCATGGC